GCTTTAATTTCTCCCCTTTTCTTCTTTCCTACCTTTACTTCAGCTCTTAAGGACTGAAATTCATTTTTGATTTGTACTCTCTTCTCATGAAAATCACATCTTGAAAATTTGTTTTGAACTTTGCTCACTTCTAAGGTCCCTTCTTCTGGTCAGTGTTGTGAGTTACCAAACACTGGCTTGCACTTATATTTTGACGTTTAGTTTTGTACATTTGTACAAATCTTCCTTAAGATGATTTTGTCTATATACTAGATTTCTCCCTCTCCTAGCCTTCTAACTCCCCTCATCCTACATCCACAGGTTCTACATGAGAAGTTTTCTACTTATAAGTGATTTAATTTTAGTCTTTTTATCTCATTGTAATAATGCTAATGGTATGAATCATATGTGACTCAATTAGTGCTTCTTGGTGACCTTGTGGTTTTGAAAAGCTTGTGTAGAAATTTAAATTCAAATGACTGTAATATTCTCAATACTTTAGAATATAGTACTTTACACACCAGACATCATGTCATGGAATTTCTAATAAATATGTGTCTAATAAAATGGAGTTCTTGGGAGAAAATTGGCATGATAGGAAAAAATCATACTCATACAATAACTTTCCACTTATAACCATAGTAATAAAATGTCTTGCAGTTGTTAGAGGTCTTGACAATGATCTTTCCTTCTTTTGTTTGCTTATTTTTGAGATAGCATCTCACCATGTAGCTCTTGTACTCGCAAAAGTCCTGCTTCATTCTCCCAAGTGACAGCATTATAAGCTTTTACTACCCTGGCTTACTATAATTACCTTCTTCCAATGGATTAAATATAGGGATAGATGTAGAAACCATGTCTCAACATTAGAGAGGACACCAAATTAACTATTGCCCATATAAAATAATACCATGCAATGTCTCAGTTTATAGAAAATGCTAGAGAAGATGAAATCATTTGGCCAAGGTCACCCTGGAAGTTATAGTGGGAATTAGAGAGGAAATAAGTCTTTCTTCTCTACCAAGTGCCTCTTCCATTAAGTGAGGCAACTCTGATTTAGCCCTTGGTAGATTACCACTCTCAGGTCCCTGTTCTTGTTCAAAGAAAAGAAATCATCTGTCCAAGAACTTGTAAATGTGAGAAGATGGAAATGGAAGAGCAGAACCGAGGTAAAGCAGAAGCTCTCGTCTATAGCAATCATTTGGACCCTGAACTTAGGGTGACCATTTTCTGCATTCCTTTCTTTCTTCCCCCAACTATTTGATACATTCTTGAAATATTTCAAATTACCAATACCAAGTGGTCAGCAACAAAAATCATACACATACAAATAACATTATATGGCTTAAGCAGGTTGTATTTATATATTTAGCAGTGGTATGTATGTCTGTGTCTCTGTGTGTGTGTCTTTGTAACAATAATTAAATAAAACGAATCCAGAAGCCATTAATTTTATATAAATCAAAGTGAAGGAGGGAAGGGAAAATAATGTAATTATAATAATCTCAAACATAAAAATAGTTCAAAAAGCTAGAACATATTTCAAGTCAAACAATGGGGTTTTAGTACTCACAACAACATTTATATCGAGTATAGTTTATTTAAAGAAGTCGCTGTGGCTAGGAGTGGTAGTGTAAGCCATTAATCCTAGCACTAGGGAGGTAGAGGCAAATGGAGCCCTGTGAGTTCAAGACTAGCCTGATTTACATAGAGCCTTCTAGGACAGTTTGAGCTATACAGTGAGACCCTATCTCACAAAACAAAATAAAACAGCACATACACACATAAAAGTTAAACTAAACCAGAAAAATAGTAACTTTGCATGATAGTTTTGTTTTTGTGTGCTAGTAGACATTCACACATTTTTCTTAAAAACAAACATTTATATCTAGACTCCATCTGTAGTGTCAAAGCAATTTAAGCTCTCGCTCTGAGTGAGTTGCTCTGCTCTGCCCGCTTCAAGGTCTCCGGGCAGTGTCTTTATTGTTGTGGTTTCCAGGCTATTGACAAGAGGCTTCCCTTCAGATTCTTTTCCAGGGCTATTGAAATATGTACCTCATGTATGCCTGGGTTGCCTCCTGTTAGATTTTCTTCATGAGCAATTCATAGACTGTTCCCTGATGTGATATTACTTTCTCATATACACTCAGGGAAAGCCTTTTCCACTCAACAGGGCTCAGAAGTCTTGACTGGAGCACTTCAAAAATAGGTCTAGTTTATACTTTTATAAAAACAAGAGATGTCTAGACAACTCCCAGTTTGGGACAGTACAGATATCTGAGCCTCTCAGAGGCAAGCATTGCTGAAGAAGACACAAGTGTAGCATTCATTTCTCCACTCAGGAAGATCAGGATGTATTAACTTTGCTTTGCTGAAAGAGAAGTTGCTGTCTTGTGGAAAGAGGCTGGCATGACGAGAAGAAAAGGCTTGTGGCAGGTGAGAGTTATGATGTAGGAACTAGACCTCAGGGTGCTTCTGTTTCTTCTGCTTATAACCCTGCAAGGAGATTAACTTGGACTTCTTTTTGTTAATGGAAAATGCTGATAGCTCTTATGTGTATTTGGAAAATAATAGAAATGATAATTAAGAATTGTCATGGGAAGAATTTTGACTTGGAATTTGCATTTAGATTTGTCCTAAGTGTGACGCCTGTTAACATAGCTTTTGGTTGCTTGACAAGAACCTGGGTGCTTCATCTCTCTTCCCAATCACCCTGGGTAGAGTTGCCTGCTTGCATTCGGGTGGGAAGAATCAAGCTCAGGGTAGGTCTGGCAGAAGGTGGAGTCTTCGCTTTGTCCTGTGAAAGGCTCAGCACAGGTGATTTGCTCAAACAACTGCAGGGGGCCCACCCTTAAGTGTGGTTAATATACCCAGTAAGCAGTAAGAGTGCACTGGAGAAACTTTTCCTTTGCAAGTGGATGTCAGTTGCACCCAGTTTCTTGGTAGGGGTGGGAGCCTGTGTCCACTTTCTCCTCTCAGTGCTTGGACCCTGTCTGGCTTGAATATATGCAGGCCCTGCATGTGCCGTCACAGTCCCCGTGAGTTCACATGCGCATCAGTCCTCTGGTATCTGGAAGATGCTGTTTTCTTTGAGTCATCCATCCTCTGACTCTAGCAATCTTTCCACTTCTTCTTCTGCATGGATACCTGATCCTTGAGGGGAACGGTTTAATGAAGACATTCCATTTAGGATCGAGTGCTCCAAAGTCTCTTACTCTCTACACATTGTTCACTTCTGTGTCTCTGCATCAGTTCCTATCGACTACAAGAAACTTCTTTGATGATGACTGAGTGAGAAATTGATCTATGGGAATAGCAGAATGTCATCAGGAATCATTGTGTGTGTGTGTGTGTTTCTTGCCATGATTGCAAAAATCATAGTACTTGGTTTTTCCTTGGGCCTGTGACCTACAGTTTCAGGTTCTTAACTACCCTAGCAGTGACAGGCATGAATTCCATCTAATGGAATGGGCCTTAAATCCAATTGAAGAGTTGGTTGGTTACCCCTACAACTTTTTAAGACACTTTTGTGCCACCACCGTACCAGCATATCTTGCAGGCAGGTCACTGTTGTATGTTCCAGGGTTTGTGACTGGTTAGATGATTACCGTTCTCCTCTGGTAGTATTCTGAGTACCTTTTTGCACCATGAACACTAATATACTACCAATTTTAGTGACTTAGGAAGACCCTGATGGTGAGCACCTTCCTTGAAATATCTGTGAAACATTTTACATTTTGCTTCTTTTGAAATTAAAAGTTTCATTATTATTGCATGCATGTTTGTGTGTACCTGTGTGTAAAGGTATGATATGCATGAGTAGGTGTGGATGTGCACAAGCAATTTGCAAGTGTACCACCATGCACATTTGGAGGTCAGAAGGACACCATGAGGGAGTTTGTTTTTCTGATATAGAATTTGGGGGCTGAACTCAGTTCTAGGTAGCAAGTGCTTTTATGCGCTGAACAACAATCCTGCTGGCTTGAGTTTTACATTTTGTTGTAATACCCAATGATATAGTTTGAAGAAGATGAGCAGCAGAATTCTAGCAAAGATGATGGCCTGTGTTACTTCCATATGATCCTGTGTAACTGAACTTTAGAAGCCTGTCTATGAACAAGGTTTACATGAGGCAAGGTTTTTGAACTTACATTTCATTTGAATTAGGGAAGCATTTAGTAGCTCTTCTGCCATGTACTCAATATGTACACAATATGTAACTCCCTGGCACAGCTTTCAGGGAGTTAATGGTTTAGCACAAATTGTCCAGGAGTGGAGAGACGGCTAATTGGTCAAGAGCTGATATTGCTCTTGCTGACTGAAGTTTAATCTCCAGTATCCATGTTAGATGCCTTACAACTCCAGTTTCAGGGGAACCAAAGCCTCTGGCCTCTGTGGGCATTCACCCTCACATTCACATACTCACACATACACAATTAAAAATAAATACATGAACAAATAAATAGAATTTAACAAAGGCTCAGAACTTTGATACCTTGAGCTTTAGCTTTTACCTTATTTTTCTAAGAAAAAAAAAGCATAAAAAGCAAATTGTTATAAAATAAGGAATTTTCCTGCATTCTTATTTAGGCAAATTCATTTGGGTGATGGTGAAACATTTGAATTTGAGTTTTGATTTTGTTATTCATACTTCCTTGTGGTCTTGGCTAGTTATTTTACTCTGTGATTTAGCATCCCTATCCCCACCACTGGGGACACTGACATTACACCAAAGGATTGTTAGAATAACCTGGGGTAATTCATCCATTCAGTGCCTAGGACTTTAATGTTTGCTATTATTTTTATCTCTTTTAACAGCCAGAGTGATTTTTCTGTATGGGTATTAGCTAATTAAATTGTTCAAAGTTAATGGGTACTTTAATGATACAGTGAGTCTTACTTCGACTGCCTTAGGCTTTTGTGACCTTCAGTACTTGCAGAAAAAAGGTTTTAATTTTTTTTTAAAAAAAACTAATTTAATTATTATTGATGTTGTTGTTCCCTTATCCTTTTGGTTTCAGTATTCGGGATTCCACACTGAAAGATCGGAATCTGACCATGACAGCCAGTGGGGTGGAAGTCCCCTGACTGATAGCGCCTCCCCACAGCTCCTGGACCCAGAGAGGCCTGGTTCTCAGCACGAAGTGTCATGTGCCTACAGGCAGTTCCCAGATCGCAGCTCCCTCTGCTATGGCTTTGCACTGGATCATTCCAGGCTGGTGGAGGACAGGCACTTCCACACTCAAGCCTGTGAGGGAGGCCGCTGTGAGGCAGGCAGGTACTTCTTAGGAGCACCACCAACTGGCAGAGATCCCTGGTGGGGATCTCGAGCACCCTTGCCACTTACCAAGGCCTCCCCGGAGAGCAGAGAAGCCTATGAGAACAGCATGCCGCATATCACCTCTGTCCACAGAATCCATGGTAAGAGCTTGAGGGGTACCAGATAACCCAGCAGGAGGCTGTACATCGGAAGGACTGACTCCCGTGGTCTTCTACCTTTGATTTATAGAAACCCACACCAATGGAAGTTGAAGAACCAAGTCCACTCAGCTTAAGTGTATTAATTTTGATAATGTTAGCCTATGACAGATGAGAAAAAATTCTCATTTAAATCTTTAATAAATAAATAAATAAATTTAAAAAAAGTAAAAAAAAAACTCTATTACCTCTCATATTCATATAAAACCTATGGCAACTTATAATATAAAGTAGTTACAAGTAGTATCAATAATCTTTATCTAGTGTCCTATTTTCCCAAGAAATTATACAAATGTTATATTATTTATGCCCCCTTCCTCTTCAAGTGCATGCCATAATATGGTTCTGAGCACAAGGTGTGATAAACATCAATGTGTGTTTAATACATACCTGAAATTTTCTATTCTTGTATTAAGAAGACAAATATAACTGTAATAATTATATTGGATTGATTGAGTCCAACTACATTTAGCCTTTTTTGTGAATCAATTCATCTCTCTGGAAGGATACCAAATATAGAATATAAATAAAAGTAAATCATTATGATTTATGGAACCATGAAACCATAGGAAACTAAGTGTTGTGTATTTGGAGAGTCAAGTTCCATGACAAACGATTTAGGATGCCTATTTGCACTCAGTATTCGCTTATAAAGTGGTACGAGTAGTGTGTCAATTAATAAATTGTTACTAATGAAAACTAAAAAAAAAACCCATAGAGAACAGAAATTAAGTATTAGCAATTTATAATTCTATCGAATTTGTAGCTGTACTTGAATTTTGCCTTGTCATCCTGAGCATTCTCACGGCAGCTTCTCTCTGCCAGGGCATGGTTGCTGTGCTGGACACGGCAGGCTTTGCTTTGTGGGCTATGGTCCTGTGCATACATGAGCAGCTTCTCTGGGAATCAAGTCCTGGTAGCTGCCTCCCATCATCATGACAGAGAAAATACCACGTTGTGAAAGGTGGAGAAACTACCTGGATTTTCACCTTGGGAGAGTTATACAACTTTACCAACCCTGAGAAAGGGACACTAATGTTAAAGTTTTGATAATTGGTAATACTTTCTTCAAACTAAATTATTCTGTAAATTACAAAGTAAATCACTTTGGTAATTACTTTCTTCAAAGAAAATGAGTTAAGAAGAGTCTATCCTGATCATTACAAGTGTAGATCTAGGCAGGTCTTTGATAATCTCCCCGTTTTTATTAAAAGTCAGTGACATTGCAAAGGCCCTGTTAATTCTCTCTCTGCTCCTAACACGAGAAGTGTGCTAGATCATGTCCTCATTTATAATGCTCCCTGGCATTTTACTAGATCATGTCCTCATTTATAATGCTCCCTCTCAGATACTTCATTGAGTATTTTTAACTTCTTTCCATTGTTGCTTTTTATTTTTCTGCTTTTCCTTTGAGTAAACAACCTCTTAAGAACCAAGGAACATTTTGGTAGTCTGGTAATGGAAACCCAGGGCAAAGCACAATTACTTGCCAGATAAAGGTGAGAAGCAGACCTATATGGCTTAACCTATATGGACCGGAGAAAAATGTTAGAAATATCTGGTAATGGAAATCCAGAGCAAAGGGCAATGTCTTGCCACATCAAGGTGAGAAGCAAAACTCTGGCTTAACCTATATGGATTGGAAGAAAATGTTAGAAACGAAACAAGGGAAGAGGACAGGAAGCAATGGCGTGTGTGATTAGGGGCTCTGCTGCAACATTAAGCAGTTGACAGCACTCATACATCCCTGTCATCTTTTAGTTTTGCTTTTTATATTTGTTTCAGACTGAGAAGAATCCAGTTTCTGAAATGTATTTTGAATGCATTACTCTTTGGTATTAGACCTGCCTTCTTGGTTCAGAACAAGTTGTTATAAAAATGATAATATTTATTTACTCAATACTTTGTTTCAATAACAATTGGAGTTCTGTTTCAGAAATAACGAAAGATTTCATTGCTATTTCTGAAGCTAGCATGCTTACCCTACTGTTGAGAGCAAAGTATTTATACTTTTGTTTATGATAACTATCTTTACATCTGTATCATTTATAGATCCACACCCATATACAAACATTTTTATCAACTCCAATTTTTTAAAAAAAATAATAATAGAGCTTTAGTATAGTCTCATTTAAGATAAACCAAGAAGTATAAAAAAATTCAGTGACTTATTTAAAATATAATAGTTCAGCTTATACAACAGTCATCTTTAAATTCAACTAAAAACATTCTAATCACAAAAACCAAATTGTATTCACATTCCTCATATTACTTGTAAATGTGCAGGTCCAATAACTTATGTATGTAGGGAAATATGAATGTGATTTACTGATTTACTAATTGGTATTTACAACTAATGAATGATATTTATTTTCTAAGAAACATTTTATGTTATCTGCAATTGAAACCCTTTGATTACATACAAATCCAATATACATCTGAATTTTAGTACAAATGTCAATATTCTGTCATACAAACCTGTTTCTATTTCCAATGTCACTAAAATGAAAGATATAAGTTTTTTTTTCAGGAAAGAAATGCACCTGTGTGTGTGTGAATTTTGATATCACTTACTTTTTACTTTTTGTGATGTAGGTCGAGGTCACTGGGACGAAGATAGTGTGGTCAGCTCTCCAGACCCTGGGTCAGCCAGTGAATCAGGTGACCGGTACCGCACTGAACAGTACCAAAATAGCCCACATGAACCTAGCAAAATTGAAACTCTCATAAGAGCCACGCAGCAGATGATAAAAGAGGAAGAGAACAGATTACAGCTAAGGAAAGCGCCTCCAGACCAACTGGCTTCCATTAATGGAGCTGGGAAAAAACACTCTCTCTGTTTTGCAAACTATCAACAGGCTCCACCGTCAGGTGAAGTCTGCCACAGCTCTGCTCTTGCCAGCAATTCACCATGTGACCATATCCAGCAGAGAGAGGGCAAGATGCTCAGCCCTCATGAAAATGACTATGACAACAGCCCCACTGCACTGTCTCGGATGAGTAGTCCCAGTTCTGACCGCATTACAAAATCCAGTTTGATCTTGGCTAAAGACTATCTACATTCAGATATGTCTCCTCATCAGACAGCAGGAGACCATCCTGCCATCTCTCCAAACTGCTTTGGCTCCCACCGGCAGTATTTTGATAAGCATGCCTATACATTAACTGGATATGCCCTGGAGCATTTATATGACAGTGAAGCCATTAGAAACTATTCCTTGGGATGTAATGGCTCACACTTTGATGTAACTTCCCATCTGAGGATGCAGCCAGACCCAGCACAAGGACACAAGGGAACATCTGTTATAATAACCAATGGAAGCTGATGTTTTTCTAAGATATTTTGTTCTTCAAGGGTCTCTGAAACATATTTATCATTTAATGCCCCCTTAGCAGCATTTACTATGCCACAGATTGTTAGAAAAGCTAAGTTAAAGTTTCTGGCTATTTGGCAGGGGTTTCTGTGGGAATAAAAAGTACAAAATAAGAACAACCCCAATGTTCAGTGTTATACACAGATAACTGAGCTAAAATAAATACAGAAATTGCCCACATATTACAGTGGAACCATAGTAGATATATTTGAATTGAAAAATACTAATGCAAATTAAGCATATACACCACTCGGAAGGGCTGATAAATTGTGTTACGACAATCTAGTAGAATTCATGCACATAAATCTATGCTACTCACAAACTGCTATGTATGTTTCATATGCATAAATATACAAAATGGGTACCTACCACATGAAGCTTCTTAAAGGAATATCAGTTCCCAAAATAGCTCAAGAGAAGAGGGACGTGTCTTGTAAACCTGTTTCTTCATCTTCATGGTTTTGAGCTAGTCCACTCATTTGGTTCAGGCATGAATTAGAGAGATGGTGCTATCTACAGTACATGAATGCATTTTCACCTGGTACCCATTACACTCAGTCAGGAAGCAGTGATTTTTCCACCTTACTTTTGAGTTAGACAGAAACCAGGATCGCTTTGACACAGCAGTAAGGATCTTTCTATGTCATAGCATTGAAATGTCAGGAGACAAGAAGTGTAGCCTACTCAATTTTAAGTGGGTTAGAGAAGGAAAGGGCAAAGCAGCATAGAATGATCCTGAATCTCAAAACACCTTTTAAGACTGAGAACAGGTAAACAACATTTTGGGGACTTAGATATACAAATAAGAAATTTAAACCAGCTCACCCAGACAAAATGCTGATTAGTGCAAAAGTAACTAAGGAAGATCTGTAAGGTACTACAGGACAACAGGATAAGTATTGAAAAACATCTCAAAGCACAGATACAAGAGTGTCTCATGTGAAAAGTCTCATGAGAGGGTCTAAGTTAAAAGCTCGGGCAGATAGACAAGTGGTTCAAAAGGTGCATGGGGAACTCAAAGGGAAAATGTTGACTTTCTTTGCTATTTGTAAACAGTGAAAACAACATACTTGCTCATATGTCCATGGGTTTCTATTCTGCCCTTGCCTGTCACTTAAATTTGGGACTATAGATGCATCATGCACAGTCCCTACATCTTGGTTTTCTGGTCTGAAAAGCACCTCTTGTCCATGGTTTATGACTCATTAGTGCAAAGTAAACTTGTAAACAGTTAAATTTCTGCTATGAATTTCAAGACTTTGGATTTTTCCATACAGGTCTAGATACTTTGTTATTTAAGCAATGTGTGGACTCTTTCAGGCAGGAAGAGTTATAGTCAACTCTCTCTTAGATGCAGCCAAATGAAGATGGTACAAATTTATGAGGGGGAAGAAAAAAATACTTAAATCTATTGAATGCACTATTGTCTAGTATTCAAAGAAAATGACATGATTGGTTAGAAAAGTTTCATAGGTAGTATTTCTTAGGATTCCCATGCCTGTTACTTTTGTGATATTTAAGGAGGGGAATGTACTGGAAGGACTTGATTATGAAAGCATTACATGGCATTAGACACTCAGGGATTAGTACTGTATTTTCATCACTCAACACAATCATTTGGTGACAGCCTGTATGACAATACATTTAGAGTTGAAACATTGGGTTGCTTATACATGAGAGAAGAGGATACATAAAATTAACTACTTGAGTATAACAAAACAATATGATCAATGAAAATGAAGACAGGTGCAAGCCAGTGAGACATAGATTATGCACTTAAGTGTACCTTCAAAAATGTTCTTAGGGCAATGAAAACTAAAATTTGAACCCCATAAGAAAAATATTCTGTAGTTTTGAGAAAATTATTTCTGAGAAACACAGAGAATAGATGATTTGGCTAAAATTTGAACATGAGAAATGTTTTTGGAATGGCGATGGTTTTACAGAATTCTGTAGGTCAGGCAAAAATATTTGGTGAGTGGGTATTTTGGGGAGAAAAATCTATACAAGTAGGTTATATTTCTGGGTAGGTATATATTAGTTTATCAGAGGTACCTTCTGTAAGAAATAGAAAGAAGAACCTAGGCCTAGGAACTAATACTAAAGAGAGGATTGTCATTAGAGAAATTCCAACAGAGTTTTTAATGTGGAGGATAACTCATATAAAAATAAATTGTGAACTCCACAGACAGAGTCTCATAAGGAGAAACAATGCTTCCCAGAATGCCAGAACTAATATTTTTAAAAGAAGACAGAATCTTCTAAATTATAATTTGATTAACAGTCTTGGTAGATTGACCCATTTAAAATACACTAGCCATTTATTTAATTAAACAAATGTCAATTTTCAGTGATAATTTTATAATATTGCACATAATGCTTCAAAGACTCTCTCTCTCTCTCTCTCTCTCTCTCTCTCTCTATATATATATATATATATATATATATATATATCTTACATTGTTTGGCAAAATGGCATGATTATTATAAATGACTCCAAATGAATTGACCTTTTACAGCTAGGTGACTTCTGACAGTTCACATAGATGTACAGAATGTATTTGTAGCCTCCATTATTTTGTTCTGTATAAGAATGTATTTGCTTATAAAAAAAGAATTATCTGCGTCTTAAAAATATGGGACTAGAACAAATACATTTCCAATAACTTTATCAAAATTAAAATTAAATTGGCTTTATTTTTAATCCTTGATTTTCCCATGTTTGCTAAAATATTGAAAGCCTGAGAGGCATGTTTCCTTCTATCACTTTGGGAATTCATAAAAAATGTTACATCTAATTATAGCACCACAACATTCACAGTTTATTAGTCTTTATGAAGCCTATTTTATCTGGAAATAGTAAGACTATCTCTGATGCTTATTTACTTTCTTTACCAAGATAAAATTTAAAATGGTGGGTGACCAATGAAATATAAATTTTCCCCATCTTCCTGTTAAAATTATTATTGTGAACATACAGTTGATATATTCTTTTTGGATGTATTTTTAAGGTCAGAGACAATGTAGATGAGACATTTATGTATGCTCTGCCCCCACAAATCTTTTGACATCACATGCAAAATCTAATGTGACAGTTTTTCTAAGCTGTACTTGCCTGCACAAGACACTATGTCAAAACTGATAGGACATTCAAAACCAGACAGTATGTAATAAACAATTTTTCAGTGTTTATATGGAAAGCTTCTTCTTATTTTCTGATTATAGTTTATGGAGCTAGAGTATTCCCAGCGAGTATTGTTTTTCACCCTGCTGCCTGCCACATGCTGCCTTTGGAAAGAGAATCCCACTTAAAATAACCTCGAATGGGATCTCCTTAAAAGGATAATATCTTCCATTTCTATTTCTTTTTTATGTGGATTTTAATTCTAATATGAGATTATTTGATATTTTGAAATAAAATGAAAGCCCCCCCCCATCTAGATTATGTAAGTGATAGAATAGCTGGAAACACACTGAATACACACTTGCTTTTTTTTTTTTTTTTTACTCTGTCTCTTGCTCTGTACCTCTCTGTCTGTTTCTCTCTTGCGGAACCAGCTAATCACCAAGCTATTTGTATGATCTATCAGTGCTAGCAGTAATTGAGAGTGACAGAGTGAGAGCTGAGGACTGGACTGGGAATCGCTTATCTTGCCTGGAATAGCTTACACTGTGGTATTGCCTTTCTTGTTAAAAAAAAAAAATGAATGTCTGGGTTTGGCTTCTTAATTTATTCAAATGGTAGATGTAGAAACACATCCAGTTTTCTGAATGACTTAACAGAGAATGTAAGTCCTCCAAATAAGTAATTGAGCATTCATGTAAGTGTTAATTTTTTGTAAGGATTTCACTGTAGGTAAAAATCTGTTGGCTAGCTCTTACTGTGAAGATATATGGTGAACAAGACACTCTAAATTTTAAGCGAGGGGCAGAACAGCTGTGGATACATGCAAGTGTATCATAAATAGGAAATGTTCTTGGGGGAAAGTTTTGTGTGGTACTTATTTCTTGTGCACAAAGGTTGTACGGGTAGTGCTTAAATTCAAAAGGTAAGAAGACAATTCCGTATAGACATTCGTTCAGCGTTCTTTCTCTCAGACTGTGTGCAGAAAATACACACATACACACACATACACGCATACACACACTATGACTTTTATATTACTTTGAGAATTTATAAATGTGCTATATCGAATGTGAATGTATGATGATTCACACAAGAAATTATAATTCATAATTTTAAGATAATCATTGTAGTTTTATTTACTGGGATTTGCTGTGTGAATTTGCCTTCATAAACTAGGTAAGAGGACTTTGTCCTAATCTGATAATCACATTAAATTTCTACCTAATAATTACAATGTGTTTACATTTCAAAAGAAATGAAATTGGCATTGGTAAAATTTTCCAATAACTGTAATTTCTTTTCCAAGGAATAGATTTCAAAAATAGAAAAGAAACAAGAGGCACTTCAAGAAAGAAAAAATATTTTATGCTTGTTTTTTGACTGACATGCTATAAAAAGGATTATATTTGTGAGAGAAGATACTGGTTCGAAATACCCTCTTGCAATGTATAGTTTTTAGTGATATTGTAGTATAAACTTGTAATTTGAACTTTTACTTTGGAATGTAAAGTAGAAAATAATAGCAATGTCAATGATATCTTGCAAAGTGTTTCCATTTATAATTATTTATATTGTAAATAGCTTTCTGAAGTAAAATTGAAGTTAATGTCCATAAAATGTATTTATTATGTGAGGAATTTTTGGTTTAAATATAGTTACCAACATGCATTCTGAGTCTGAATTATTCATTGAAAGAAGAATCTTTATAGGACAAAACAGATTTGTCAGTCAGACTGGTACTCTATAGGCAGCCATTTTAGCTCTTGATTTGGCTAGGTTGTTCAACTCTACAAACACTCCATGCACAGAGACGCAAGAACAGAAG